CCCTACAAAATTCGGTTCCAACGGTAACAGAATTTCGGGCGGTCGGGTCGGGTTCGGGCAAATTCGGGCAACATTAATAAAAATAGCCGTTGGGGTTCAAAATTCGGGCTAACAGTAAAAAAAAATTTTGAGCAAATTCGGGTTATGCGGGAAAATTCAAAAAAAAAAAATTGGCGGACATCGATATCAACTTCTCCACTGGCGGCAGCCTGCTGAGAATGGATTTTCCTCAGGCTGCCCGAGCCCGAGGGGTTCGGGCAAATTCGGGCAACATTAATAAAAATAGCCGTTGGGGTTCAAAATTCGGGCTAACAGTAAAAAAAAATTTTGAGCAAATTCGGGTTATGCGGGAAAATTCAAAAAAAAAAAATTGGCGGACATCGATATCAACTTCTCCACTGGCGGCAGCCTGCTGAGAATGGATTTTCCTCAGGCTGCCCGAGCCCGAGCCCGGCCAAAATGGTCGGGCGGCGAATGGTGCCTGTCCGCCGAGCCCGAAAATTTTTGAGCATCGGGCAGACCTGCTGCCTAAACTTTCAGCACTAAACGAGAGTAATAGCGTTATAAATCCTTACGCTGCTAAAAAAAATAAAAAAAAATCAAACAAAATAAATCAAACGACGATATGGTCTTAACTCTTAAATTCAAGATTTGGAATTTTGGAGTACGTTTAAATGCCAACTAATTTGAAATTCAGGGGGTTAAGCGTCTAACTTTTAAGTCTAAGGGGTTAAGCTGGAGAAGATATGAAACTCCAGGGATTAAAGTGTAATTATCGAGCCTTATTTAATACCATTTTGTTTCTGTAACGCGAACTTCAGTTTTCCCGCTAGTTTACTTCGTCTTCTTCTCTCTGGAACTCTCTCTGAGTCTGATCTCGGAGCTTTGCAAATGGCGGATCAAAATCTATCTGAGCTCGTGAATTCAGGTTTATCTCTTTCTTTCTCTTCAATTCTCACTCATTTTCCGATCTTTTTTCAGTTTCCTCAGCTGATTTCAGCCGCGCTATGCTTGACTTGATTTCTAAAATCAAAACCTCAAGGAATTCGTACATTTTTCGTAGGTTGAACTTTTTCTCACTCTCACACCGGATAATTTTTGGTTGCACAAGCTAAAAGTACCAAAACTTCAGGAGAATTACATAAAGCTATGATTCGACTAAAAACTTTCCAGTTCCAGAATTTTCAATTTTCAACCAAGTTTTGGTTTACGAGTTAACGAAACTCTCTCTTATTGAAGCTTGCTTTTTCTAGATCTGTAACCGTATTTGTGTCGCTCCTTTATTATTTAAACCAATCGGCGTTTTACCTTTTGCTTGGATCCTAAGAAAGCCTAGGTCACACGAGAACATGAAACAAAGAAAAGAATATTTGATTCCTATAAGTATCGAAAGAACTTTCAGATATTGAGCGCAGATTTAGTTCTTTATGTTATCTGACTTTCTTTTCCCGTTAATACTTATTTGCGAGGAAGAAATCAAGATCATATTGCCCAGCTTTTGCATTATGCATCTCTTCCTCCGATTTTAAATTGTCAATTCGTGCCATTTTGAACTTCTTATAATAAAAGAAATTTCGGAAAAGCTGAAGTTGACAACTTAAATCTTGCTTATGATACTACCAATTTGTTAATTAATTAGTTGTTAAATTGACTCTGTAAATTTTGTTTTCTTATCGATTATTAGGAGCTTAGACACTATAATGATCTGTGTCTTCTGTATAGATTCTGTTCAGTAAATCTACTACTGAAAACTTCTAATAGCATGAAAATAGAAGAAACAACAAATGAAAAGAAATGATACAGATACTTGAAGAAGCATATTTGGTTTGTAAATCTTATGGAAGGGTATGACAGATGCAATATTTGTCTTTGCTGTTTGGCTGCCGCAGATGGTGTTTCAGGGGTTTGTATGATGAGCAACACATGGAAAGTTGAACAACACCCATCTTTCATTAACTTCATCTCCACCTTCCTCAATGCAAATTCTTTCCGTCTTAACTTCGTTGGAATCGCCCCCGTAATTTGGCTAACCTGTACACATGTTTTATCCAACAACGCATCATTAGTAAATTCAGTCCGCTTGTTATGTCTGCAGGATTTTATTTTCAATTGTGGTGGTTCGTCGGTGGCATTTATCTTCTTGACGAACTGGGATTGCACTAATGTCTCCCCAGTCTTTGGCAGGTAATTAAGCTGTTCCGGTCATTGGTTCTCTTGCCTTGTATTCTGTTTATTTATGTCTCCTTGTGCAGAATTCAGAAACTGAGGTTACAGTTCGCACACTTATATGTTGTCATCACTCTCGCTACCAAGGAGCAAAATGATTCATTTGTTCGTTCTTATTTCAAGTAAGTTTCTAATGGTCTTTTGTCCCATTTGATTATTGTTTGTTGTAAATATAATTAGTGATTTTACGATCTTTGAATCTGTGAGATTTGGGACGGAACTTGGCAAGCCAACCTTTGTACCTGTTCAAGACATGGAGATGGGGTTTGAGAAGATTGTGAAGATAGCTCACTCTCTTGGAGGTAAGGCATAGATCCATAAGCTCACTTCACTGTGCTATTCCAAATTCATTTTCTCTAAATAATCATATGAAGTCGCAGTATGCAAGCAGCAAGATGCCACGACAAAATTGAAGTCTGAGGTCAGTTCGTGAAATCTTTTCCTCTTGATTTGTCCCGCAATCTTGTTACAGTGTTGGCAATGATTTATGTGTAGTTTGGTTCTGATGCACCTTTTCTTATTCATTTATTTAAAAATGCTTGTTTTGTTTATAAAGAGGAAACAAGCAGTGCAAGGAATGGACGTCTTCCGACAAGTGGTCACATCCATCCCAGGGATTGACGCTCATGATGCGAATGCGGTAACTAGAACACCTCTTGAAAAATTCCCTACATGATGCTCGGTTTTCCTGTCCTGCTACTATCATAGATGTCTCTGCTTTTTCTAATCGCGTACTGGAAAATCTCAACTTCTCTTGCAATTTGTGACACCGAGGTATAAACAATTTTGTTACATTCACTTGCAAGCAAGATTAGATTTTCCGACAGGAAATGTCATGAATTATTATGAAACATCTTAATTGCGGTAGAACCTGGTATATATATTGAGTCCTTTTTTTTTTACTGAAAAGTGTTATATTTTGAGAAGTTTTTACTTTTAAGGCCAGTTTTTTGTGTCTGCACATAAATTTGTATAGCTGTTACAGAAACAGATGTGCACGCATATGTAAAGAGGACGTATGTATGACTAGTAGATAAATAATTAAGAACATGTTTTGTGCTTCATAAAGGTCTGTCCATCCTTTACTACTTGGATAGAGGCTTGTTCCAGGTATACTTGTATAGCTTGCATTTGAGTTGTAAAACTGATTACTAATTACTGTTGTGCAATCTGTTCAGCTTAATCAAGCTATTGGTTCGATTGAAGCTATTGCCAAGGCATCCAAGGAGTATATTCTGGAAAACACAGATCTTTCAGCTGAAAAGGCAGAGGTTATTTTTAGGTTTTTCCGGGATCCAAAGTTCTACCTAAGTCCCAAGATCAATTGATGAAAGAATGCACCCTTCTCAATTTGAATTAGTGTTTTCGTCACGTTTCTGCTTGGTTATATGTAAATAATGGTTATATTCTTTATCACATCCAAATGTATCGCAAAATGGTGTTAAATGTGCGATCCGGTCACTTCGATAAATATGCACAAGTACAAATATACGTTTTAGTGTATGTTACAGTTTACAGCTACCTGTATTTTTCGATTGGAACATTAGAAGCAAAATAAGATTAGCATTGCCTTATTTTGTAATACAATTACATTTCCCTGGGATATCTATAACAGTGGCCATCATAAAACTACTAAATAGGTTTTAACTTAGCCGCCAGTATATAAAAGCCCACCTCATAACACAACCTACAATTTAAAAATGAACTCTAGCTTCCTCAAAATTAGGGATGAAAACCCATTATCCTTTGCTACAACTAGCAAAATAAGCCCCATAGCCCCACCAACTAAGAACTTGCCAGTTACAAGCAGTAGAACAGAGGCGTTTGGTACTGACCAGGAATACAAGGTTTTTAACTACGATGGGGCACCGAGATATGAGGCAAGACGCAATATGTCACTGAAGACTCCACCAGCTGTAACTTGAGCCCCAGCACCCGGTCCGCGGACTATAAGAGGCTGCTCCTTGTACCTTGTTGTCGTGAAAGCGATTATGTTATCCGATCCCGAAAGTTGGGCAAAAGGATGATCTTTCTTGTACCTCCGCAACTTCACTTCCCCTTTCTGATTAATCACGTCCACCACTCCCACGAATCTCAACACCTTTGGATATAACAAATTCGTAAGGTTAGACGGCAAAAAGAATTACAATCATATTCGGCTATGAAAAGTAGTAGGGTTGAAAGATACTCACGCCCCCTTCTTCCTCAGCTACTTGTCTTTTATTCATCAACTCATGATCAAACTCTGGCAGTTTTTGCATGAATTCCTCGGCTGATGCACAAGCCTGCCAAAAAAAAAAATCAATTCAAGGATGAACTTAACACTAACTTCTGTCTTCAAAGTGGAATGGTTAATATAGTTCTTACTTTCAACGGTTCTGGTACAAGGCTTTCAACAGGGATATCAGAGAGTTCCAGCTTCAGACCAGATTCCCTAGCCAAAATTATCACCTAGCATATAGTCCACCAGAGACCCAATTTTATTATAAAGAAATCACAAATGAAAAAAATAATAATAAAAATTATTTGTTGTTGTTGTTGTTGTTGTTGTTGTTATTTTACAAATTTCAGACCACAATAAGCTTCCACATCAAAGTGAAGGATATTTTAATTACAAATTGACTAGTCCAAACAAAAGTAATCTAGTAGATGAATACCTTTCTACAAACATCAGTTCCCGAAAGGTCGTCCCTTGGATCTGGCTCAGTGAAACCAGCCTGCTTTGCTTCAGCTACCACCTCACTGAAAGTCCGTTTACCTATGAAATTGTTAAAGATGTAACTTAATGTTCCACTGCAACAATCAACGAGGTAAGATTATGTTAGATGAAGTGTATGGTTTGGTACGTGCAAAAAATCAGTAACTCATGTGAAGAAAGAACTCGCTACAAGTTTATGCAAGCAAACATACCTGAAGATGCCCTCTATGCGCAATATTTTGTCCCCCGTTTCAAGAAGACCCCGTAATGTACTAATAATAGGGAGACCAGCTCCAACTGTAGCTTCGTAGAAATAATGTGTGTATGATTGCCGCTGAAGGGCTCTCAACTTCAGATACTGGTTGTAACAATAGAAACATGTCAATTGACCACCAAAAGACATTACTAAACATTTTGCAAGGAATGCATTGTAGCATGTTTACATTAGCATAAATTCTTCCCATAAAAGACCCGTATAATCACAGTTTTCTACATCTTTGGGGGAGTGTTCATGCAATTTTTTCAACTTTGTAACTGGGTATCAAACTCTCTAAACGTTTTACCTGATCAAGCGGTCCTGAATTTGCCTTTTTGTTAGGGGTAACTACATGAATTCCTTTCCGCAACCAATCATAGTAATAGCCAGCAACAGTTGAGTCAGCTGTGCAGTCTACCAAAACAGTATTAGGAATGAAATGATTCCCGTGAACATGGTGGACAAATTTTTCCATGTCTGCAACTTCTCCTTTCTGCTTTTTAAGTTCCCTCCAGCTAGTTAAGTCGATGCTCCTGAAAAATAACATAATGGAACCTTTTCTAGTCATACAATGAGAACTAATAAATAGTTTAAGAAAAAACGGAACAAATAATAAGTAGCCGCTATAAATTGATCAAACTACTTTAGACAGTAACTCAGCATGTACATGCATTTTTCCTTCATCAAGAGAAGCAAAGGAGATACTCAGTTTGGAAAGCAGTCATAAGTGTAATGATGATTCTGAGAATTTGAGTTAAGAATATCTAGTTGAAACTTTTTTACTTACGTATCACTTAACAGCATGGTCCTTGAGCCAGTGATTCCCATCACACGCAGGTCAATGTTAAATTCTTCCTTAAGGGTTGCTGCCTATAAATAATCAAAAGACCATATAACATGTTTAGAATCAACCACCCTTGCACACTTCATTAACAAAGAAAACCTTTGAGATTCATAATAATAGAAACCAAAGTTCTGCACATCAATTATAAAACTAGTAACTTTGAGATTTATAACAATAGAAACCAACTTCCTAAGTATCATTTCAAAGTATAGAAATTAAAGTTGCTAAGCAGAAAGAGCAGCATGACAAACTTATGGCGACATCTAAATAAGTGGAACGCTATGTTTGACTACCCAAAGCCCACCGGCGAAAGCCCGTTGGATTTAGCTTGTGGATTTATTTTTGCACGAGTTTGGGTAATCTGATCCTTTTCTCTTTCGTATGGTTTATTAAATGCTTCGGCACATGTAATTAGTGGTTGATAGATCAAACAGTAACAAGAGATGATATATGAAAAATCCACAAGAAAAGGCTTAACTGTTGGATTATATTGGAAACACTGTAAGCCAAATATGCATTCAGATTTCAGAAATTACCGGGACTCAAACACACACACACACACCCCTAAGAATTCAATAAAGACTGCCATCAAAAAATTGATGCAAACATACACATGGAATATGGTAACAAGACATAAAATGATAGTAGAGTACACAAGAATCCAGCCAAAGAAAGCACCTGATCCCTTAGTTGATCAAGTAATGTGCTACCAATCAATCCAGGTCCAATAATTCCCATTGCTATTGTGGTTCTTGAAAGATAAAACCTAGAATGAACAGCTCTTAGGGCCCTTATACAATCTTCCCGCTTTAATACTACAGTAATATTGTACTCGGAACAACCTTGAGCTATAGCACGCACATTAATATTTGCCTGCAAGTAATGACAACATAAACCAATTTGTCCATTGAACTAAAAGGCTAACCACAAGTATAAAAACAATCCGACTTGACATGCAACTGTTACACTAACTTTAACAGCATCAACAGCTACCTAACCTTTGCCAGTGCATTGAAAAGAGTAGCACTAACGCCAGGAGTACTTGCCATCTTCTGGCCAACAGCTGCCAAAATACTACAGTTTGGAATGATAGCAACCTGAGAGGATACATTACGAGGAAGGTAAATGAAGAATGAGAAGATGTTTTAAGAGAGTGCTATGTAGTACAAGTTATTAGGGTATAACACAAATAGTATCGCTTTTCCTTTTCTCATTCATCCCAACATTTGCAATATGTTCTCAGAACTCTAAAACCCTCTTACTATTTTGTCACTGGTGGTACGCCACTTAGGAGATTTAATGAATCTATTCATCCACCATTAGAACCGTCACATACCACCAATTTTACATGTTAAACAACGCTATTTTGGCTTCAAATCGTTATAACAACCCTCCAACTAAAATTTGAACAATTTTAAGGCACTCTCCCCAACCATGGACAAAGACCAAAAATCTGATTATAAAGACACCAACACCCACAAATGACATATAACGCCAATATGAAATTAGGTGTGATGAAGAGATAAACATTTCATGTTTTTTCTTTAATTACTAATTAAAAAAATTGTACGCAGCAATTTCCATCACTATAAAGGAACTGCAGAGAACAAATAGGTAAATAAGAAATTAAACGAAGAAGAATCAGGCACGTTTTTTAACAAAATGATTGTCAGAATGCTGTTTTCATAAAACTTGATTAATTAAAAATTTAAAAAAATTAAAAAAAAGCACCTGAGAAAGCCTCCCAGCATCCAAAGCTTGACGAAATCTAGACTGTAAGGCCTCAGCAACAGCTTTTACTTCCTTCTCAGGAACAGCAAAGCAGACAGAATGCTCACTACTTGCCTACAGAAGCCAAGTTCGTAAGAATATACTTCTTAGTACTATTCCAGAGTGAACTAAACCAAACAAAGGTCAGGCACCTGAGATATCATGATAACATTGGCTCCCACATCCTTTACAGCGCCAAAAATTGCGCTAGCTGTACCAGGAACACCAGCCATTCCAGTTCTGGGAAAAACATGAGCGTGCTGAGGAGTTATTATAAACGCAGACTACAGGAAAATATAGAGCATTTTCATTTACAGAGCCAGCAGTGGAAATCAATGTCGTGCAACTCACCCCTCAACATTTACAAGGGCCAAATTGTCTATCGTTGCAAATCCTTTGACAAAAGACTCCAAACTCTGACCATCTTCGCCGTTGTTAGCAGGACGGCAAATCTTTGTTCCAGGTGCAGAGAGGTTGAAAATGTTCCTTATTATAATTGGAATGTCATATTTCATCACTGGAATGATGGTGCGTGGGTGCAATACATTGGCCCCAAAATATGACTGCAGATGCACACATTTCATGTTAAAGCATAAAAATGTCAGTGAGAACCTGCAACTGTGTTAAAGATGAGCAGTAAAATTTACCATTTCCCAGGCCTCTTGATAAGATAATGTCCTCAGAATTACTGCTTCACTAACTGCATCAGAAATGTCGTTCCAATAAATCCTAAATTCACTATATTGCGGATTCTAAAGCAATATCCTTTTTTAGTATGTGTATGTATGTGCGTGAGCACACACATACAAATATATATATATATGGGCACTTTACAGTTGCAAGCATATAAATGAGGTATATTTTTTAGTATGTGTATGTATGTGCGTGAGCACACACATACAAATATATATATATATATATGGGCACTTTACAGTTGCAAGCATATAAATGAGGTATAGTACAAATAACAAACCTTTTCTGGGGTCTGCACTATACACACCATCAACATCTGTCCAAATCGTAACTTGACGGGCCTTAAATAAAGCACCCATGATAGCAGCAGAGAAATCACTTCCATCTCTCTTCAATGTAGTAGGAATATTTTGAGGGGTGCTAGCAATGAAACCAGTCGCAATGATTGTAGTAGATGGATTTTTGGAGTACCATTTCTCAAGTCTTTGTTCAGATTCTCTGTAATCAGGATCAACTTGGTTAGAACTGGTGGGGTTTACAATAAGGACTTCCCTTGTGTCCATCCATTGGCAATCTACCCCAGCCTGCAAGGAAGAATCATATAAATACATGACCAGGAAAAGCATTATATGGCAGTTGCTAGTCTAATAATGGCAAGCAATCACCAGACCTTTCTAATAACATATGACAACATCTGAGCAGACCATAGCTCTCCATGTCCCACAACAAAATCAGTGAAAGATTCTGTTGCATGACCAGCTGCAAGAAATAAGTTTGTTAGTCAATATGATTATGTAAGATCCCACTGTAGAAGGTACAAGGATGTCCACCAATGAAAATGATGCTGAAATAAGACGAAATCAACACAAGTGACTAAGCATATAGAAAGGAGATTATTCTCCAAACATCATGCCAGGTGCACAGTATTTCCAATCATATACTTGTTCTCATGCTCTTGGAAAGGGCATGCGAGATAGAAAGATCAGTCCAATACCTATATAGATTGCTCGAAGCATCGCTTTTAGGTTATTGATGTCATGATACAATCGTGATAAGAAACTACTAAGTTCATCCCCATCAAGCAAATCCAGTGCTGTTGCCTTGTGCTTTTCTAGAACAGCATCCAATGCAGACACATACGACTCATCTCGTGATTGAGCTTTGTTGATGAGATCATACATCATATCTGTTACTTTCGACATGGCAGAGATGACTACCAACTTCCTCTCTGAATCATCATTGAGAATTATATTCGCAACATCTTTAATTCTCTCCGAGCTTCCCACACAGGTGCCACCAAACTTATGGACAGACCACACGTCACCTTTTGGAAGCTTAACTACTTCAGGGGATGTTTCCACAGGAGTATCTACCCAAGTACGAAGATAAACTTTAGTTAGACAAAGTCTTAGAGCAATGTTTTATAAACAAGGAAAATTCCAAAAAAAAAAACAGAGCAGAGAAAGAACAAAGAGAGAGAACCTGTAAATGACGCTAATATTTTGCTTCTTGATGTTTCTTTTCTTCCCCGTTGAGAAATAAAATCCAATCTGAAACAAGCACAATATGTTCTTTAGCCAAAACACACACACACAGAAACTGCACACAAAACATGCTTGCATAACGCAGGCAGGTAGTTTAATTTTCCAGGAAAATATCAACTTGCAACAAGTATATAAACAATAAGCATTCTGAATACTTGTATTAGCAGAAATGAAGCTAATTAGTAACTAACCATTCCCTAACATCAACGAATTCTTATTCGCTTAATCTTATCCGTTGATTCACCAAAAAAGACTTCAAATATTCAAAGAAATTTCTTTTTCTAAAGAACAAATCCGAAAACAAAATAATAAAAAAATTCAGTAGCTACTTGCTAGCTGTGTCGTGTTCGGAAATGCAGGAAAACGAAACCAAAAGCTCAAATCCGAAACCATTACTCATCTTTCTAAGAGTCGAGAGGGAAAATGAGCATCAGAAACCCTAGAATGAAAGGAAAAGAAACAAATTCAAAGGTGAAAATGGACGGACCTGAAAATGGGAGAGCGGTGAAGAGAGAGAGGAAGCGGACGACATTGGGAGGCGGAGAAGAGCTTGTTGAGAGTGGCGTCGTGAGGCAGTAATGCGTTCGGAGAGAAAAGGTAGTGGCGAGGGTTTGAGATCGCCGACGAGAACGACGCCATTAGAGACAAGGAGAAAAAGGAGAGAGAGAGTAGAGAGAGTGTATGTGGGTTTAGGATTTAGGGGGCGTTTGGCGGCTTATGAATGATTGGTTCAATGGTTTTTCGTATATCAGTTTTCTTTTTTTTTTTATTAAAAAATTGTTATAATACATTAATACCAGTTCCCAACTATACTTGCATGGCAATTTTTTTTGGTGAAAAGTTGCATATATTAAATTTCCGACCCAACTTATTTTTTTTATTTATTTGCTTAACTTACTTTCTATAAACCAAAAATCATCATGATATTTTCCACACAAAAAAAGAATCGTTAATATATAAGATTTGTTTGATAGAGTTTCTTAGAAGCTGCTTTTATTTTTTAGTTTTATGGATTTAAAAGTTACTTTTGAAAGTATTTGAATGATATGTCAAAAATACTTTGACATACTTTGACTGTTAAATAGACATGTATCAAAATTTTTATTAAAATGTTATAAACTTCATTCTAACATTTTTATTGCTCATGAGAAAATTTAAAAATTATTTTAACTTTTTAAACTCTTAAAAAAATGTGGTTCCAAATACCTATTAAAAAGGCACAACTTTTACTTATTTCCTAAATAAACTCTAGGTGAGCATAGTATAGTGTTATCCATTGTCCATAGAATAAACGAATCCATAATATATGACCATGGTATAAACTAGAGATGTCAAACGTGCCGTGTCGGGCCGGCACGGCACGCTTGCCCATCACGGGCTTGGGCCGTGCCAGACACGGCCTTGCACAATGCAGGGTCGTGCCTGGGCCGGGCCTGAGAAGAAAAACTCAGGCCCGGTCCAGGCCCTTGGCCCTAGTCCATAAGGGCCAGGGCCGGGCCTGGGCCCAGGCCCTTCACGGGCCGGCCCCGGCCCTTGTATTTTTTTTTTAAATTTAATTAAAAAAAATATCATATGCCCTAAAAGATGTGATTTTATTGAATTGACGTAATAGGAGTACACATAAATGACTGCCTCGTTAAAAACCTTGCTAAGTAAAACCCGTGGGGAGATCAGGACAAAACCTTAGCGAAGGAAAAAAGAATACAGTAGCTAGGAATAGTAAATTACAAACCTAAGTGCTTCCAGAAGATTCTGTTATTTCTAAGTTAGAAAAATATTCTTGCATCGAATCATCTGTGTATTGTTGTTTTCGTCTTCTGGCATCTTCCCAGTCTTTAA